TTTTCGCTGAGTGCAAATGTGCCGATATCATAGAATACTTCCAGAGCTGTTGCACTTTTACTTTTAGATTTTCTTTTCGCTTCATTTCGTTACATGCAGAACAGCATTGCTCGATAAAAAAAAAATAAAAAGGCATTAATGTTGATAACAGAAGTAAAATTGTAAAAAATATATTTATCACTGTGAACTACATACATATAAAAGATCTGACAACATCTTTGCGATTAAATTATAATACATAAAATGCAAATACTTACATTACGTACTCGGAACAAAAAACGAAAAAAGAACAATCTACTTTTAAAACTTCATAAACACCAACACACCAGCATTGCTGAAGTAGGAGCAAGCGGTCCAAGTCAATATTTATTACATGATTCCTTTGCATCTATTACTAGAAACGTTTCACCATTACCCAGTATTATATTCAAAGAAACCAATATCTATCCTTCAAATGAAAATGTTAACAGCCAAGATAACTTTCAAAAGAATGATAGTCAAGATGTCTTTCAAGAGAATTATAGTCAAAGTGATTTTCAAGAGAACAATAACTATGACGACTTCCGGACGAATAATAGATGCGATGATTTTCAAAATGATAGTTAAAGTGATTTTTAAAATGATAGTCAAAGTGATTTTCAAAATGATGTCAAAGTGACTTTCAAGAAGATAGTAACCAAAGCGACTTCCAAGAGAGTAATAGCCAAGGTGGCTTTCAGGGGAGTGATAACGACTTCCAAGAGAATGATAACCAAGATGACTTTCAGGAGAGTGATAGCGACTTTCAAGAGAATGATAGCCAAGGTTACTTTCAGGAGAGTGATAGCGACTTCCAAGAGAGTGATAACGATTTCCAAGAGAGTGATAGCGACTTTCAGGAGAATGATAGCGATAGTTTCTCCTATTGCTCAGATCTGCAAGATTCTGAAGAGTTTGGTAGACTAATTGAAGAGGATAAAGAATTTGAGGATGAAATTAGTGTAACGGATTTTATATTAGAAAAGTCAATGAGTTGTCTCTCAGAAAGTCCTGAAAACAAATTTAGCCTATATTTTTCGAATTTTACTGAAATATCTTTTTTTATTTGGGTAACAAAGCATTCTATCTGTAAGTTAAAATATATTTATTGTTTTTTTTTAATATTTACTTATTTCAATATTTACTTATTTCTTACTAACTTTGTAATCAGCAACCGCGGCTTATCAGGAACTTGTAAAAATTATATTACATGATCAGTTTGTTTCTTCTGAAATACCACCAAATATACGCACATTGAAACAATATCGGCTAAGACTACCTAGCCTTCCAGTTCACCAACATAAAGTTCAAATTAATCTCCACAAATCGCTTTCAATATCATTACTAGTCAGGAATACGTACACTTTGTCTATTCTTGATTATATAAAACAAATTCTAAACAATCAAAAACTTTTCTCAAAAATGTATTTCGGCCCTGGCATTGAAGACGAAGATAAAATGGAATTGTGGCATAGGAGAATTTGGTCTGAATCACCTTTATTTAGCGATGATACGTTGAGAATCACATCTCTAGGTATATAGTGTATTTTGCAATTACATTTCAGTTATACAGTAATTTGTATTACTTAATAAATTATATTTATTTAGGTCAACCTGCAATAACATATCGAACTGGCAATTTTATTTCCTACGTAGATCAGCAAAACTGCTTGCAGATTGGGTTTTTGCGAGCATTCATTCAAGTAAAAGAAAATCTAAAAGTAAAAGTGCAACAGCTCTGGAAGTATTCTATGATATCGGCACATTTGCACTCAGCGAAAA